CTTGTAGGTGCATCAACTCACCCATGTAACACACAAGACACAGGAGACACCATCAACATCAACCGGCAACCACACTGCTCTGCTCTGCCCGAACACTCAGGAGGGAGAAGGGAGGAGGCTCCGCCTTTATTACTTAGCGTAACCTTCCGCTTAACAAAATAGTGCCAACATAAACACAGTAGTGGCAAACATCATATTCAACACCCCCACTTGATGGTGCCACACATTCTAACCACAACACTATTTTCCAAACATGTAAGAACAAAATTTTTCAATTTTGCCTTTTGTGGCAGACTTTGTGAACACATCTGCAACCATGTTTTCTGTTGGACAATAAACCAAAATAACTTTTCCCTGTGAAACATTTGACCTTATGAAGTGGTATTTAATGTCCACGTGCTTGCTCCTCTGGCGATACACGGGGTTCTTTGCAAGGCGTATTGTCCCTTGGTTATCTTCAAACACCTTTGCTGTTTGCTCAAAACTGTGGTCCATGTCCCGTAGTAGTTGGGATAGGTAGAGCGCTTCTTGGATGGTAGCTGCCAATGCTACATACTCAGCCTCACATGTCGACAGTGAAACTGTTTGCTGTTTCTTTGTTTTCCATGAAACAATAGCTCCACTTGGACTTAGGCTGAAGCAATAGCCTGTAGTGCTCTTCCTGTCAAGAACATCGTTGGCCCAATCGGCATCAGAGTATCCCATCAACTCTAATTTCGTGTTACACTTGTTATAACACAATTCATAGTCCTTAGTCCCTTGTAAGTACCTGTACACATGTTTCAAAGCTGTCATGTGTTTTTCTCTGGGATCAGACATATGTTGTGACAGTCTGCTCACAATCCAGCTTATATCAGGTCTAGTACAGGTCATGATGTAGATGAGGCTGCCCAGCATTTCCCTGTATTTTCTCTGATCAGTTTGTTCTCCTTCTGGAACTAGATCACATTTGATTTCACTAGGTGTGGCTCTGGGTTTACACTCTGCCATACCAAACCTTTCCAGTATCTTCTCAATGTATCTGGACTGGTTCATTTTGATGAGACCTTCTTTTTGTGTGAAATCAATCCCGATAAAATGTGCGAGATTGCCAAGATCTTTCATTTTAAACATACTTTTCAGTTTATCTTTGATCTCTTTTAGACACATCTCATTGCTTGCAGCCACAACTATATCATCATCAACCCACACTAACAAAATCACTTTTCCTCTGTCAGAAAAATTTGTGTAAATACAATGGTCAGCTTGGCTCTGTACAAACTTATTCGACATCAAGAACTCATGAAGCATCATTTCCAGTTCCTCCCAGATTGTTTGAGTCCATAGATAGATTTGTTCAACTTACACACGTTTTTCACTACTCTCTGATTTAACCTGGAAACCTTCAGGTTGATCCATGTATATTTCATGGTCAATGGGTGCATGTAAGTATGCTGCCTTAACGTCCATCTGGTCCAGTGTAAGGTCATGTTGTGCAGCTAGTTGCATCAACACACGCAGTGACGTCACTTTTGCAGTTGGAGAAAATGTCTCTGAATAGTCAAGTCCTTCTACCTGGCTGTATCCCTTTGCTACATACCTAGCTTTATATGTCTCATTTCCTTTATCATCCTCCTTGAGAGCATATACCCACCTTCCCCCCACTGTCTGTCTACCCTCTGGTAATGGTACAAGTGAGAAGGTGTTGTTCTCTTTAAATGAGATCATCTCATCTTTCATTGCCTTTTTCCACATTTCAGATTTTGGTGATGTTAAAGCCTCTCTATAGTCTGTGGTAGCCCAACTGTAGCTCTGTAACAGTAGTCAATGGTCAAGTCACTGTTCTGAACTGCACATTCATAGTCCTCCAAGTATTTAGGTTTCTTTCTGACTCTACCTGTGGTACGTGGAGTCTGTGAGTCCGTAGTTGGACCTGTGTCCATTTTTGAGTCTTTCTCAATGTCTGTGACTGCCTGTCCTGTTTCTTCATTCAGTGGTTGACTAGCTTGACTAGGTGTAACCACCCACTCTACGTAGTGTTCCTCTGGCTGGTCCCAGTCAGTCTGTGTCTGCCTCTCAGTTGTTCTCTTTTCTATGAAATGGATCAGTCTGTGTTTCTGAACCTTGTTTGTCTCTGGAAAATAAACCAAATAAGCAGGCGAATGACGATCAAAACCGACAAAAATTTCTGTTTTGCCCTTAGAATCAAGTTTCTTTCTGTTTTGTTCATACACCATACATTTGGAACCAAACTTTTTCATTTTTGACAGATCTGGCCTCTTTCATGTAAAAAGGAAATAAGGTGTTTCCCCTGTTCTCTTACAGTAACACCTGTTCCTTATGACTGTAGCTGTCCTGGCTGCGCAAGGCCAAAGCTCTTTGGGTAAACCTGACTCAATCAGCATGCATCGGACCATCTCAAATAATGTGCGCCAATATCTCTCTGCAGTCCCATTTTGATGGGGAGAGTAAGGTGCTGACCTCTCATGCTTTATAGCATTGTCCCTCAACAAAGACTGGTACTCCTCTGACACAAATTCTGTTCCATTGTCAGATCTGAGGCGTTTCACTTTACCGTAAGGCGCTGTATCTGCTAAGAACTGCTTAGTTGCCTCAACTGCCTTGTTTTTGTTCCTAAGAAAGTACACATGAGTGGTACCAGAAAAATCATCAGTGAAAGTGATAGCATATTTATAGCCTTCAAATGACTCTGGTGAAATAGGCCCACCCAGGTCTGTATGCACTAGCTCTAATGGCTCTTTGGCCCTCACATCACTTTGTCTGTTCCTGCTTTGTGAAAACTTACCCTCTAGACAAATTTCACATTGGTTGGGTCTGGATGCTTTGTCTTTGATTTTCATACCATTTACAACTGTTTCAAGTTTCACAATATCATCATAGTTGCAATGACCCATTATCTCATGCCATGTTTTTAAATCCAAAGATACATTGGCTGAATCCACACCTTTTACATTTTTCTCTGTGACAATGTCCAAATAGTACAACCTGTCTTGTACCTTCATTTTACACGTTGTGCCATCAGGAAGAATCATTTTGTTGTTATTCTTCTCAAAGTTGAATCTTGCGCCCTTCGAAGTTGCTGCATCCACAGACAGGATGTTTTGTGGATACCCTGGAATCAGGAGGGCATTCGTGAGCTTAACACTCACAACTTTCCCGTCATGGTCAGTCAACTTGATCTTTGCATCTCCTTTCTTCTGGACACTTCTGGTGATTCGTGTCCCATCTGCCAGCTGCATGACGTGGTTCTTGGGTTGGAAAGTCTCATCAAATTTGATGAAAACACTCTCGTCAGTCATGATGTGGGCAGAAGCACCGCTGTCCACCAGTAGATCTTGCTGCTGCGTGTTGTGATGTTGCCACTCACTGGACCGAAGCACAAACGTTCCTTCTTCACCAGTGGTACTATGCTTGTCCTCAGCATTAACAGTTCGTTGTCCTGTGTCTGTAACGGCGGCCATCTTGTTGCTGTTTTGCGCATTGTTCCCTCTGCGCTTTTTCTTCTCTTTGTTCCAGCAGTCTTTTGCCTTATGCCCTATTTTCTCACAAATAAAGCATTCACCGTTGAAATACTTCTTCTCTTTAATCTTAGGTTTAGACGCCTTGTAATCTGCAGCCATTACTTCGTCTGTTCGGGGCCTGTTACGGTAGCACAGTGAGCATTCAAAGCTCCTCAGCCTCGCCTTGAACTCGTTGAAACTCAGCGTTTCCCTTGTTTGAGTGACATGCACCGAAAATGGGTTGTAATCATCCGTGAGACCTTTTAACACCATCGCCGTCAGGAGTGCATCACTTAGAGTCTCTTTAGCTCTGTTTAATGCGGCCACTATCTTTTCAATACGGCCGAGACAGTCTGCTAAAGCTTCCCCGTCAGCCATTAGCACATTGGTTAGCTCCGTGTACAGCCCGACAATTCGCGGTTTTTCTTCTGACTCAAAATGGCGTCTCAATATTTCTAGGCTTTTCTTGCCGTCATCTGGCGCTTCATAGAGGATTAGCATTAGCGTCTTGTCGTCCAAACAACCACACAGTTCGGCATATGCTAGTTCGTTTTTCCTACAGATCTCCGTAGCGTCTTGTACTCCAGCTCCCGTTGTGAGCTCTCTTCCCAGGATAGCATCTTTTAGACCGATGGTTTTTAAGTATGCTAAAAACCTTGCTTCCCAGATGTGGTAGCGGGCTTCGTCTCCGTCAAACCGCGGCGGCAATCCCCTTCCGTGTACTGCCATACTCGGAACTTGCCTGGGCCCATAACCTGTTGATTGTTCTGTAGCGGGTATCCCGCCACTCCCCCTGGAATCACTTGGCTCCTCTGCACCGCTGGAAAACATCCTTGTAGGTGCATCAACTCACCCATGTAACACACAAGACACAGGAGACACCATCAACATCAACCGGCAACTGCCCTGCTCTGCCCGAACACTCAGGGAGGAGAGGGAGGCTCCGCCTTTATTACTTAGCGTAACCTTCCGCTTAACAAAATAGTGCCAACATAAACACAGTAGTGGCAAACATCATATTCAACACATGTCAGCTGCACCAGCTGCATTTTAATGCATTCATGGATTCATGTCAGCATGAATTCTGCGCACAGTGAGCCAGTTAAATGTTGAGCTCCAAGCTAAATAATTACATGTTAGCTTAATGTGGCCCTGAATATTTAGCTAGCTCAGAAATATGGCTAACTTGGCTAACATGACGATTATGAATGGATGAATAACATGGTGAAAAAGTGGAGCTCAGGATACAGAACTGATAACTTTGTAACTTTACAAATGGTGGCTAAGGACCGGAACCAGGACTGGGACCAGAACCAGAACTGGAACCGGAACCGGAACCAGAACCAGAACCAGAACCAGCTGTTTTATGACAGGAAGCAGCAGCTTCCTGTCATCTCCAGAGGAAACTTCCTGTTTTTCTCTGTGACTGACGCTTTCTTCCTGATCGTCATGAAAACGTCTCCCCGGTGGGTAGCCTCTGATTGGCCGTTTCCTCTGCAGGTGGCCATCGACTTCACGGCGTCCAACGGCGACCCCCGGAACAGCTGCTCCCTGCACTACATCCACCCTTCCAGCCCAACGAGTACCTGAAGGCGCTGGTGGCCGTGGGCGAGATCTGCCAGGACTACGACAGGTGGGTCAGAACCGGCGCCACACACGCACGCTCGGCGCCACACACGCACGCTCGGCGCCACACACGCACGCTCGGCGCCACACACGCTCGGCTCTTAACATCCTGAAATAATCTGATGGTTCATTTCTACTCATTAGCTTGAAAAGTTATCAGTTCATCTCAACCCAACGCAATGCGACGACTCCTGATGTGCTAAAAGGACTTAGCCGTCACCAAAGATATGCTAATCTAAAGTAGCATCTCAATGCTAACATGTAGCATTGAGATGCTAATGCTGATGTTAGCGTCCACAGACCATATTTCTAAAGAAGCTCCATGAATGATCAGACAAACTGCAAAGATGAACTTTGCTCCAATCTGTGAAGAAGCTGAAGATTAAAAACTATAAATGTCTTTGACGTTGACCTCATATTATTATATTTTAGAAATTATTTGACTTCATTCATTTTTATTTATCCTCAGAAACTTGAGAAGAAACTCCAGATGTTGGAAATAGAAACATGACTAACTCAAATTCTGATGGACTTTTGTCCTGAACAGGAAGTAGCCTCCCCTCAGCCAATCAGAGTGTTTCTCTGTCTCCTCTCTCTGCAGTGATAAAATGTTCCCAGCGTTTGGCTTCGGAGCCCGGATCCCTCCAGACTTCAAGGTAACGTCCCGCCCGGCCATCCCAGCATGCACTCTGCTCTGAGACGTAGCTGCTGGATTTCAAGTAGCGCCCCCTCCTGACCTCTTTTCCCTGATCAGTTTCTGATTAGCAAGAAACTGATCTGCTCCGCTTTGGGTCCAGGTCATTACTGCAGATCTGAATGATCAGAACCAATAAACCCACAGCTGATGATGATGATGATGAAGAAGAAAGAGAGCTCTCATCTTCCTCTCTTGTTCAATCAAAAATCAAACGCAACTTCCTGTTTCCTGCAGATTTCCCACGACTTCGCTGTGAATTTCAACAAGGACAACCCGGAGTGTGCAGGTAGGTTCTGCTCTCCGATTGGTCCAAACGAGAGGAGCGGTTCTGCTCTCCGATTGGTCCAAACGAGAGGAGCGGTTCTGCTCTCCACTAAACTAAATTCTGCCCATAAACAAATTTTTTCCCACGAAAAAAATTAAATAATCGAACACCAAATTAAAATCCTGTTCTTAAAACTAAATTCTGATCTGATTCTTCATTCATTCAAGTTTGTGTTGCCATTATAACATGCTCTTAACTGAAGTGAGTATTTCAGAAAGAGAAGAAGAAGAAGAAGAGTTGCCACGTCCTTCCTCTCCTCTCTGACTAGTGATCAGATTGATCAGTGGCGGCTTTGATCCGCTGATGGATCTGTCTGCTGACCTCCAGCAGGAAGTTCCCTTTTCTCCAAGACAGTAGCGCAAAGTGATCTCCATAAGTGACTGTAGTGGATTTGAAGTAGCAACAGGTTACTGACATCACTGCGCATCAGAAACTCATTCTGAAGCCAACTTCAGTTTCCTGTCATAGAGCATGTTGATCACAGTGAGCTGGCAAAAGTCACTTCAATGCATATAACGGGTGGCGGTTACAGTCATTTTTCTTGGTAAGTTTTCTTAGCATGCTAGTTATTATCCTATTTTAGGCTAATGCTAGCCTTTGTTGAAATAGAATTTTAAAGTAGCACAATAGTACACAGGCTAACTTTTACGTTAAGATAAACTTAGATACAAATCCAAACTGGGACAACTGGTGACTCTCTGAAGTTACATAAATTTCTAATCAGAAAGCAGTCTTATACTCCTTAAGGAGCGTTTCAGACAGGGAGTGTATTGGCTATCAGGGCAATAAATTCTTTATTCAGGGTTGAATAGTTCAGGCAAACATTAAAAACTATAGAAGTCTGTTACAACATATAATCAAACATATTAATATATTTGCATGTTTTTAATTAGTTTGTTTTAGATCCAAACTTATAGGTAGTATTAAGCAATAGATTTTGTGCGAGTTTGTTTAAAAAACACCAACTGGTTTCTTGTGGAATCATTTGAGGCAGAAAACTAAAACAGACAGAGGTCGTAAATTTAGCTCAGGAGAGTTGCAGGAGACGCCTGGTACGGCAGAGACCCAGTTGGACGATCCATATATCTGCCTTTGGGCTCTTTAGCAGGAGGTAATAAAATTAACATTAAGACAGCCCACACAAAGGAAAACACACCTCCTAATGCATATATTTAAATGAGGAGAATACACATTATTATAAAATGGTTTGTTTTACAGCAGAAGTTCAAATCTCTTTGTGCTGAGTGAAGATTTCCAAAAAATGCATTTTTTGTTTGTTTGTTTCTGTTTCCCTTTCAACTCAGGTAATTCTATGTTTGTCATGTGTTGGACTTTTTGATAATCCGGGTGTAATGCTGTTGTAACATTCTGTATTGCTTTGAATTCTTTTGGATAAAACTCTGGAAATATCTGAAGTCAGCTGTCGTATGATTGCTCTTCCTCACTGCGCATATTGAGGCACAAGAATTCGAGATCAGAGGAATGAATTAACAAGCTAAACCAAGTTATTCCTCTTTAATTCTTAACACCTTCCAGCGGGTGACCAGCTTACGCATGCTAGTTGTTAGCATACTTAATGCTAGCATTAGTGAGGAGGCTTCTTTTCCAGTGCCAGCCTGTCATTCATCATGACTCAGATCAGTAGCCAGCTGGAGCATGGACTCGGCCTCCTGCTACTAGGAAGTAGCCAGTGCTGGATGGACAGTTGTCTTAATTTTGCTGCTGATCTTGCGCCATAAACAACAAGAACACGAGCTTCACTATTTAAAAGTTTAGTTGCATTTTTCTCTTCATGTGCAGAAAGTTCTCAGAAGTAAAATGATAAATTTTCACTTCTAAAATATTTAGCATTTTAACAAGTGAAGTTATTGGACTGACTGACTCATTTAAGGAGTTCCTTTTGGACCTGCTCAGGTATCCAGGGTGTGGTGGAGGCGTACCAGGCCTGCCTACCCAAGCTGCAGCTCTACGGCCCCACAAACATCGCCCCCATCATCCAGAAGGTTGCCAAGTCCGCCTCGCAGGAGGTCCACACCAAAGAGGCCATGGTGAGACGTTGGCTTCAGGAACCTCTGGTTTCCTCCCATCTGAACTGACCTGCACTTCCTGCTCCAGCAATACTTCATTCTGCTGATCCTGACTGACGGCGTCATCACCGACATGGCCGACACCAGAGAGGCCATCGTCCAGGCCTCCCATCTTCCGATGTCCATCATCATCGTCGGGATTGGGAACGCTGACTTCGGTGACATGCAGATGCTGGATGGGGATGACGGGATCCTGCGGTCGCCCAAAGGAGAACCCGTCCTCCGGGACATCGTCCAGTTTGTCCCCTTCAGCAACTTCAAACATGTGAGTTTCAGAAAACCAGAGAATATTCATAAAAACTCATTATGCCCATTCTTTGTCCTTATTGCTCAGTTCCAGACACGTTAGAGCACCTCTTGAACTGAGGAAGTTTTGTTTCTGGAAAACCGACTCATCTTTGAAACAGGGTCAGGAGTTCATATCAAACAACATTTTGTTTCCTCTTGTCCTCTCCAGGCGTCTCCGGCTGCTCTGGCTAAGAGCGTGTTAGCAGAAGTGCCCAACCAGGTGGTTGACTACTACAACAGCAAGGGCATCAAGCCCAAAGTGCCCAGTGAATACCCGTCTTCCAGGCCATTCGGCCCCTGAACTGCATCACCACAGCAGACCAACCTCACTAAATGTTTACTGTCTTGTGTTTTTTGTCAAAGCGGATGCTAAAGATGATGCACACAGTATTTACCCATGAGGCATTGGGGTCACCTATCCTTGAACCAGTTGGCCTTCACAGTTTTGTCATGGGGGACCAAGTCTAGGAACCACTTGGTTCCTGTTTTGCTGCTGCCAGTTTAGTACTTTAAATGATGTCATCAACTGAAACATTTGCTGCCTTTCATATCCAATAACAATTCCCAATGGCAAGCCCCTTAAGCGGCACTCGTCTTCCTCTCTGGATGAAGGTGAAGATGCTGCTGTTCTCCTGGTAACTGCTGAAGATCATAAGACCTGTAGATCCAAAGTCCATCTGATCCCCCCTAGATAGGCGTCTGAAAGGTTCAGTCAACATTTCCATTGATCATTTATTTGTTGAAACGAAACCTTGAGAGGTTTTGACATCCCAGAACTAAGAACATAGTTGAACAAAGAATAGGCAGTTGGACCTCCAGAAGGAGCAGTTTGGTTTCCGTCTGGCCAGGGAACACTGGACCAGCTCTACATCCTCCGCAGGGTGCACAAGGGCTTATGGGAGTTTGCCCAACTGGCCCACATTTGTTTGAGCTCAAGAAGGCTTTCAACCATGTCCCTCACGGGTACCTGTAGGAGTCCTCCATGAGTATCCAGGGACCTTCATTAGGGATTCTCTGCACAGGCGTCACTGACACTAAGCTGTTTCTGGTGCATGTTGAACTCCGGTGAAGCTGCCGTTTATCACCAGTCCTGTTCATGAAGGGCCTGACATGTAGGAGGCGATCTCGCTCCCTCTCCATTTATTTCCTGTGGGACTTGCGCAATGAGGCAACAATCACTTGCATTCGTCCAGAAAAATTTGTGGCTGGGAAACAAGTTGACATATACACCCGGCACGTTGCTAGTGTTGCTGTCATATTCCTCACATTGAGCCCATAACTTATATGGACAGGATTTACAGGCGTAGCCGAGTGCCGAGAAGGCTGAGTTTGTTAATCTGTGGATTGTTTTATACGAATGATGTGGCTCTGCTGGCTTTTTCTGGCCTAGAGCTACAGAATTCACTAGGACGATTCACAGCCAAGTGTCAGACACCTGGAAGTCTGAGACGATGGCCGGGCCGCTTTGGCCTCTCCGGGTTGGAGGGACGTTCCTCCCTCAAGTGGAGGAGTTCATCCATCTTGTGGTCTTGTTCATTAGTAAAGGGAGGATGGATAAGGAGATTGATAGACATGCGATGTGGACACTGCATGGGTCCACTGCGGTGAGGAGAGAGCGGAGTCAGAAAGCAAGACTTTCAATGTGCCGGTTGGTCTACGGACCATCCTTGACTGCACGGTTGGAGAAATCCTGCCTCTTCTTTACTTACAAGTCATCACAATGACCAGAAAGTCAAACAGTCCTCAGAGTTTTGCTGGGTTTTTGCCGGTCCGGTGGAAGCTGATGGCAGAAGCTGTGAGAGGTCAGAGGTTTCAGAAATGACATGTTGGGTACTTGTAGTGTCTTGTCTGATGGATTTGACCAGAATCAGAACTGGACCTTGACATCAGTGGACTTTCAGAGGACGTTCCTGCAGGATCGTTGGATGGTTGAGCTGTTTCTATGGTCAGGAGGTCATGACACCACCCACTTCCTTTGAGCTAGCTGGCCATGCCACTTGTGCAGGAAGTCATTGACCACAAGGTGTCACGCTCCGCTACAATTAATGTCACTATGTTGGTCCTGAAACTGTGGAAAACAACCTCTGAGCATCTTCACATGAACCATACAGGCTTCACCAGCTGAGAAGGTCTTTGCAGACAGCAGCTGGTAGAACCTGCCTCTCCTTGAGAGGTTCACAGGTGACCCCGTCTCACCTGCTCCATCTGATTCTCCTTGTTGGATCACTGCCTGTTGCTGGTTGACGTCCTCCACCTTCAGAAGAAGGAGCTCAGAGCAGATCCCACCTGAACCTGTGTGGCACTACCTCACACCTCACCACAGTGTCTCTGTCCTCACGTCCTCATCCAGGACTTCAGTTCCTGTCTTGGTTCTTTCTCTGTTCTCTGTGGATCCACAAGGACAGAGCAAATCCTTTGGAGCTTCTCTAAGGTTCTTCAGATTTTCACCACCAGAAAGCTGTAGAGCTTTTCCAGGGAGGTTCAGTCAGCCGGTAATTTGCACAGTGTAGCTGGATTAGCTCAGCGTGAATCAGGAAGTTCTCATCACAGTTTTCACGTTTTGGAGATTCTGCAAGTGACTCTGAGGTCAACGGGCTCCATGAGGTCCATCCACCTGGTGACTGTTGCTGTTTGGACCTGTCCAAGTATTCCAGAGCTTGTAGGATAAACACACCATTTGCATCTGACTTTTTACACTGACTGGACTCGCAAGATCGATTATTTGTGCCAGAGAAAGCATCGGTCTTAGTTGGAGGCCTGTAGACTCACTCACAGGGCGACGCCAGCAGTCTGTGTGTCATCTTTAACATGTGTACATCGGCTGATCTGATGTTTTGGTCTTCAACTGTCAGATCTCAGGACTATTCTGGTCGGAACTAATTATCAATTTGACGGGAACATCATGAATACGATAGGAAGTGTAAAACAATAGCCACACAAATACCAACTGAAGTCCGTTACTATCAGAAAAGGCTGAGACTCTTTTCTGATCCTTCCTAGTGTTTACATTGGCAAGACTTCTGGTTCAAACTCTGGTCTGAATAATGGATCTAGTCCAGTGGTCTGTAGACCGGCCGCCGGTCAGAGGCTTCCTGATCAGATGCAAGCGGTGTGTTCTGGCTGTCATCCGCCCAGCAGGAACCTTTTGGAGGAAACATCATGAGGTTTCTGCCCCAGTTCAGGTCAGACTTTAGCCGTGTGTAAAAATGCTCAGTGCAGCACCTTGAGCATCCGCTGTGCATGCAGAGCCGACGACGGCCGAGAGCAGAAAAGCTCACAAACTCAACGTGACCAATCGGAGCGCCGCCTGCCTGCAGACAGCATGCCGAGCAGGGAGGCGCTTCATGTTCCCTGCTGTTGTTATTACACTGTGTTGGTGTTTTGCTAAACTTTTGTATTTTACAAAGCATTTTGTAGATGAAGAGCTGCCTTCAGAGACGTTTGCATCCTCAGCCGTCCCTCACGCTGCGGCGGACGCATGGCGTGTTGTTGTGCATGCGGGCGACGAGCCCCTCTGTTCTCCAGCATGTTCAGGAAACCATGTGAGTAGATTTAAAAGCACAAACTGAGTATCTCTGCAGAAACCGTCTGTTGGACTTCCAGGTCCGTTTCCCAGCTCTAGAACCCGACCAGAACCCTCAGTGTAAATTAACTTGAGAAATAATGAGATTTTAAAAACTGTTTTTAAAGCCAGAGAATGATGAAATGTTACAAGCCGTACATGTCATTGAAACGGATCAGAACCAGAGTTACATTTCCCGTCCAGCGCCGGGCAACTGGGCTCAGCTGATGGACGGAACCAGGGGAGTTCAGCTTTTATTCTCCTCGCTCTGTTTCTGTCTGACTGCCGCCAGCCACAGAAAACATGGTTATATAAGCTGCAGCGTGCGCGTGTAAGCAGACAGAAGAGGCTAATCGACGGATCGGACGAGGAAAGGACAGAATCCGTAACGCTTCTGTCCGTCCTCATGTCTGTCTGACTGAAACCGGGTCCGATTCGGCAGTTTGGACATTTTTCATCTCAGAAACTTTCCCACATTTTTTACATCATCAGTCCATGGAAAGTGACTCTAGACCAGGAGTCCACAAACCTTTCAACCTTTAACCCCCAAAAATAGAGCCAGAGTCCTGACCTCTGACCTGGTGACCCTGTTACATTATTTATCTGTAGTTATGTATGGATTTGTTTTGATATTTGATTTCATCATTTAAAACATGGCTGTCGAACTAACGTTCCTTTCTAATGTCTAGAGGGCCCCAGAGAAAACTAAGGCGGGCCGAATTTGGCCCCCGGGCCTCTGGTTGAACACATAATGTAATAGTTCAAATCCTGGGTTTGGAAACCGATCTGAGCGAAACCTGGACAGGAAGTCCTGCTGTCCGTCCTTGTTGTTCTGATATACAGTCTGTAAAAAGTTTTTCCGCACAGCCTGCAGAAAAAAAACAACTTTGTTTTTAATAATTATTTAATTAAAATGTAAAACCTGCGGTTCCTGTCTCAGAGCTGTTGCCATGGTTACTCACCTGCATGACATCACCAGGTCCACTAACAGACATCATTTCCTTTGATGAGACAAAATTTTACTTGTTGGTCATTTTTGGGAAACCAAAAAAAAAAACCTGCACATCACCACAAACTCACCCTCCACTGTGAAGCATGGTGGTGGCAGTATCATGCTCTGCTCCCCAGCAGCAAACCCTGAAGTCCTGCAGGACAATCTGAGTCAATGTTCCGGCTAAAACGGCCTCAGAAAACCAGGAGAATGTGCCTGAGTGGCCTAGTCAAAGCCCACATATCACTCTGAGCTGATTCTGGTGGGAGGAGCCCCAGATGTCGTATGTTGCAAAAGCTGCTAAAATGATTTTGACCACAACTTTCTGCAGAGAAGCAACAAGAGTTGAAGCAGCGCTGAGTCGGCGTCGGGGTGTGAATACTTTCAAGCTTCTGTCTGCTGATCATAAATGTTGTTTTTTCATGTTGGTGATTATTTTCTGCCCCATGTTTGGGACGCTGGAATCAAAGATGGAGGACAAGCGTGAGTCACGTGACTCTCGTGTTGACCCGCCAAACTAAAACAATAAAACGTTGATCAGCAGCAGCGAGTCGCTGGTTCGTTCACGGCTAAATATTTAGCTTGGATCTCAATACTTTAATTTGAGCCGATATTATATTGAAGCTAACATTTAAAATGAATGGATCCATGGTGAAAATATGGATTATATTCAGCCTTAATGATAGGCCAACTAAATTATTGCTGTTCAGTTTTGATATATCTCTTCACTTCATAACAAATCAATGAAACGCAAACAGCATCACTGTTTCAACAGTTTACTGCCAGAAGCACTCAGTTATCCAGGAGGCGGGGCTTAGCACCAGATTCAACCAATTCCACTTCCTGTCAGCGATTCTGTTCGTTATTTTCATGGACAGAATCTCTGGAACAGCCAAGCTGTTGAGAGGATCCGGTTTGGTGGCCGTTGGATCCATCTCTGCGTTTTGCGGATAATGTGGTCCTGTTGGCTTCATCGGGTCGTGACCTGCAGCTCTCGCTGGAACGGTTCGCAGCCGAGTGCGAAGCGGCCGGGACGAGGATCAGTGGCTCCGAATCCAAGGCCGTGGTGTTGAGCCGGAAAAGGGTGGAGTGCCTTCTCTATGTGGAGGGCGTGTCCTGTCCCAAGGGGACGAGGGAAGGAGGGAAGGAGGGAAGGAGGGAGGGGAGATCGACAGGCGGACCGCGCCGGACGGTCCGTCCTGGTGAAGAGAGCCGAGCCAGAAAGCGAAGCTCTCGATTCATCAGTCGATCTACGTTCCGACCATCATCATGAGCTTTGGGTCACGGCAGAGAGAACCAGGTCATGGATACAAGCGGCCCAGATGGGTTTCCTCCACCGGGTGGCTGGGCTCTCCCTCAGAGAGAAGCTCAGAGAGGAGCCGCCGCTCCTCACCTGGAGAGGAGAGGAGCCGCCGCTCCTCCACCTGGAGAGGAGAGGAGCCGCCGCTCCTCCACCCGGAGAGGAGAGGAGCCGCCGCTCCTCCACCCGGAGAGGAGAGGAGCCGCCGCTCCTCCACCCGGAGAGGAGAGGAGCCGCCGCTCCTCCACCCGGAGAGGAGAGGAGCCGCCGCTCCTCCACCGGAGAGGAACCAGCTGAGGCTCAGGCTCCTGGTCAGGATGGAGGCTCCCTGTGAGGAGTTCAGGTCCCACAGGGGACAGGAAGGACAGGAAGGACATGTTGGCCAGCCACGATGATCCCGGCTGGCCTGGGAACGCCGTGGGATTCCCTGGAAGAGCTGGAACTAGAGGCTGGAGAGGGAAGTCTGGGCCTCCATCTTAGGCTGCTGACCCCGTGACCCGACCCGGACAAGATGGATGGAACTTCCTGTTTACTTGCAGCTCTTCTACCTATTTCAATTTACTAGTTGAAAGTTTGTCTGGATTTATGGTGAATAGTTTCAGTATTTAGACGTCTTGCATGAGACAGACTTACACATGTCATGAGTCGCAGTCTCATCAGCGTAAACAGAAACCCTGAGGAACCTGGAAGTCGTTGGAAACTTCCTGTCTGCTGATTAAAGCCTGGCCCTCCAGCTGACCCCGGGTTGCCTAATTAACGCTGTTCAGCGGGTTTTTAATCGCTTCTGCTGATGAGCCCAGGTGACTCATCTCTGATTCGGGGGTTAATGAGGATCGGCCAATCAGGAGCCGGCGCTGCAGCTGCCGGTTGTAAACAGGAACTTTCACCTGAAACTGGTGACTTCTGTGGTCGTTTGGTCGGTTTCCATGGAAACAACACTTTGTGAAAGCAGAAATGTGTATTAATTATGTCCAGATGTGAGAGAGGAAACCTGAGCAGTTCCAGCTACTTGGACTGATGGATAACAAGCCCCAGCTTTTATTTTGATAGTCCACTTCCTCTTATTGGCAGGTGGATTTGCAGATTAGTGAAATGTTTAACTCTCAGCTTGCTATTTAGTTCATAAACTAAATATTTAGCTGGCTTAGAGCTAAATATTTAAATTGCTAACTAAATATTTGGTTTGCTGGCAAAACGTTTTGCTAACTTACTAAACATTTAGTGTGAAGCTGTGAGATTTCAATAAATGTTTTTCTGATGACTCGTGTTGCTGCTGATGATGAACGGCTGCTTTACTGTTGATGAGTCTTTTGCATCTACATGATTGTTTTCTGGACTCCTGCGTCTGTCAGCAGCAGGAGTCGTGGTTCTGGTTCTGTCAGCAGCAGGAGTCGTGGTTCTGGTTCTGTCAGTCGTCTCCCTCCGCTGCCCCTCGCCGTCTCCTCGTGTCTCCAGGCTGGTTTGGACTCCTGAACATGTCTGGGTCCACAAGCTGTCAGCAGCTTGAATGCAGCTGGACACAGAGCTGCGTTCAGGTGGAAACAGCAACGCGCTGCTGTCAACCTGAGAGCTTCACACGATTCGCTTCATTCAGAGGAAACTGAACCTGCAGGAGCTTCTGTTCTGGAGGCTGACGGACGGACGGACACGCCTCATCTGTCTGCTGAACAAAGCTGCTGGACGCTGCGTCAGTTGTTAGAAAAATGCTTTTTACATTCAAAATGACTTGAAAATAATTTTGACTTCTTGATTTAATGGCTTGAAATTGGGTCTCTGTCTCTTTAAGAAGCTCCTGCAGCAGCAGCTCCTAAAATGAGCTCAGCTGCTGTTTAGTAATTGCTGCTGGCTAGTCTGAAGGAGCAGAGCGGGGGAAGAGCTGTGCCTCGGAGGCGGGGCTAAGTCCACCCAGGTGTTTTAACAGCTGAATGGTTGCCATGAAGATTAAAGGATTTCTGAAACATGAAATCATCAAAGCAACACTAACTGGAAATACATTACAACGTGATGCAAAGATAAAAAAGAGATTATTTTACCTGATAACTTTAACAATATCATGTTTTATTGTAAAAATGGATGAAACTCTCATGGAAGCAGTGAACTGAGTTTCTCTGTTTCAGTGCAGAACAAAGCGACACCAGGAGCCAGATCACCACAATAGTTAGCTAATTATTCAGCTAATTACAAAGACTGGCTAATTAGCTAAATAATTTCTGTTTGCCAGATCTAGATTTGGTGAGCTAAACATTTCACTCAGTCATTAAGTAGTTTAGTTTGAAACTGTGACATTTATAGATGAATGAATAAATGTTTGTTTCAACCTGGTAAAATCTGATCAGCTCCATATTTAATGTTAATCAGATTTTATTTGCTTGAGGAGCAAAGCTGGTTTATGGATCTGGGTTAACCTGTAACTAACCCGTCTCACTGAGGGTCAACCAGCTAACCTCAGCTGGTTAACCTCAGCTGGTTAACGGAGGAGGAGAAAAGGTTTATGATCTGCAGATCCATCAGCGTCTGATCAATACCAGGACCTGAGCATCAGCCTAAATAACGAGCATCTGGTCTGCAGCTGGTTCCTGTCAGGAGGAAGAGGAGGATGATGATGACCATCAGCGGTTTCTGCTGGAAGTGGTTCAGTGAACCATGAGGGGATTTACGTTTAAATCCGGACAGAAACGTCTGATTGGTTGTCCTGATTGCAGAGCTGATGTCCTATTTAAAGGTTTTTAATTTGCTCTGAAACCTTCATCGATCGCTCAGAGGCATTTTCAGCTGAATGTTTCCATCTCTGCGCTGCCAGTGGTTCCAGTTTCAGCTCAGAACGAACCCAGATGAGCAGGAGGCCCTGGTCCAACCCGGGTCCAACACTGGATCTGGTCCAGGCAGACTCTGTTCCCACAGAACACCAAATTAAAAGCTTTGTCCTTCAGGACAAAGGAAGAATCACAACAACGAATCGTGAGGACAGGAGAAGCTCTGCTCATTTGATCTGATGTTTCTGTAATGTGTGAAAATTACAGCAGTTTAGGTCCAGTTGACCCGGTTCTACTGGATCCAGAACTTCAACATCTTTCTTCTACATGCAGGTTGGTCCACAAAACAAAAAATCTTCCAGCTGAACAGTTATTTGTCTGACATGCTGAACTGAATCCAATGCAGGTTTAAAGTTCTTGGTGTCGCCGTTTATCTGGACATGCTTCTGGACTCTCAAGGTTCTGCTTCGCTGATCGGTTCTGGTTCTGCTGAGGCGACCTGACCGAGGGTTTAATGTTCAGCTCAGCTCTAACTGGCTGTGAAGCAATTATCCTTCCTCTGAAACACGTCAGCAGACGATGAGAGGAACGAAGCAGGCGGTTCTGATGAGCCTCATCTGCTGCGGTTCCTCCAGGATGAGAACCATGAACTCATCCTGGAGTCACTTTTTCACCAAATCAGGAGTCGCAAATAATCAGCTGCTGTTAGGAGACTAAATAATCTCCTCTGGCTCTGCATCAATATCACCGCTTCAACGAGAGTCCGGTCCGGTCCAACGAGAGTCCGGTCCGGTCCAACGAGAGTCCGGTCCGGTCCAACGAGAGTCCGGTCCGGTCCAACGAGAGTCCGGTCCGGTCCAACGAGAATCCGGTCCGGTCCA